TCATCATCATCATCATCATCATCATATGCGCCTTCAAGTAAATTCTGACCAACTTTTCAAGGTTTTCAAGGTAGAAATTACTTGAAGAGTTTTACCATTCTCTTATTCTGGGGATATCCTAGGTCTGTCCAGCTTGTTCAAGGCCACACAGAGTGGCTCTACTCCCAGGAGGCACAGTGGGGAATCAAAATCTCACCTTCTGGCTCAGCAGTGCGATACCTAAGTACTATCCAGCCACCTATCTACTCCATACTTGGCAGATATAACTGGCCTCAAAAGATGGGATTCTGGGATAGACGGAGTAACTAGAGCATAAAATTGAGACATACAGACTGTAGACTTACAGGATCTACTCTGTTTTTCACCAGGTTCCTGAAGTCCACCAACTGAAATCAAGTGCAAAATAGTGGTTCAAGAAGCTGCACAAATGATTTTTGAACAAAGGACCTTTGAACGCATGCTCACCCAGGAATTTTCACTACTCAAAAGTGGAATCACAAGCAAAAACTTTCTCATACAAATCTACTCTGATGTTAGCAGCCCCATGCAACCAGGAAAAAAGGCTTTTTCTTGCCACTATTGTTAAAATCATTGGTCAGAAACCTTGCTGAATTACTGCAAACAATATGAGGAGATCCCAATCTATCTTCTTCCCACCTATGACAGAAAGGGCGTCTCATCTATATTTAGTTTACCTTGAACAGAAAAAAACATCAAGCTTAAGCCCAACTATTTTCGTCATCAATCAAGGATACTTATATGACATCCACTGTAAAATATGAGTTTGCCAGCATGACTCCTTTTTCGTTTTGTTTAAGTACATTTCATTACAATGATGACTTATTCTATGAAAAATTTAGTAATCCTTAAGATGCCACGAGACTTTTTGTTATTTCTGTCAGGGTGCAACATGCTAACATGATTACCACTTAAATAAACCTCTAATTCCAGCACAGGTTAAAGATTAAAACCTGGGAGAATGAAAAACGTCCCACCTGCCATTGAAAAGGCCAGGAGAGTCCGCATGCGACAGGTTTCCTTTCATTCCAAAAAAAGAAAAAAGAAAAAGTTTACATAAGCGTACGAAAAGAAAATCCGCAATGTTAAAGCCTGAGAGAAGGGGGGGGGGCAAAATCTTTACTCTCAACCCCTCGAAGTGTTGCAAAGTCACGGAGAACTTTCGAGCCAGCAACCCGTATGCGTCACACGCCCCTGCCCGAGGGACGGTTCAAAAAAAAGGCCCGCTTCCAGAGGCCAAAAAGATTATTTGACGTCCTCTGGCTTTTTGGGCGCCTCTTCTTGGGCGCCTCTTCCTGGGAGAGCTTCGCCTTGGGGGCGCGGAGGACCGGGAATTCCCCCTCCCCACCCCTGTCACTCCCCTTGAGGGAAAAAGACCGAAAGTGCTCCCACGGACGGTTCCAGGGCGAACCGGGGGGGGAGAGAGAGGCTTCCAGAGGCTGGCAAAGCGGAAGGATGTCAAGAGGCGCTTGTGCAACAGCTGGGGGGGAGAACACGAAGAGCTGAGCGAGCGCTGCTGCTCTGGCGGCGGCGGGTGTGTGTGTGTGATCGCCTCAACGGACCGCCTCAACGGAACGCACCAGAGGCTCCTCGAGCCCTTTTCCCACCAGCACGCGCCGCGGGGGGCGGGAGGGCTCAGTCACGCCTGGGGGCGCGGAGGGGGGGGACCGTGTGTGGATGTGCGCGCGTGACTGGGCGAGGGGACGAGAGTGCCGCTGCTTTCGCCTCCAACGCCGCCAGACTTTCCCTCCTGGAGGTTTGTCTCTTTCCCCCCACCCCCTCCAGCTTCCCGACTCTCGCGCTCGCCCTTCCTCTCCCCGCTCGCGCTCGTTGATTCGGTCGCGTCCGCTCCGCTTCGCCTCGCGCGCCCTGTGATTGAGTCGCTGGCGGTCGCGCCCGCTTTTACCTCAGAGGCACCGCAGGCTTCTCCTCGGCCTCGCGTCGCGCCCAGGGAGAGCCGAAAGAGATGGTGGCGCCGCCCTAATGCCTCAGGAAACCGGAGCCGCCGGCACTGCCAGCATTGTCAGGCTAGGCCCTGCCAGGGATACTCACACGCACAACTCTCTCTCGGGTGTGAGGGCTGCGGCTATAGAGTGTGGCGGAGGGCTAGGGCTAGAGTGAGCTACCGCCTATTGCCATAGAGTTCGCCCTGTTCCCCCCAGTCCAGACTAACCGCATGCACGCGGAACCATAGAGCAGCACGCTTTCCGGTGGCAGAGCGGCAGAGTAGTGGATGCGTTCGGTGGTGGCAAAAAGTGAATGGAAGTCTCGGTGGAGAGTGAAAGTAAGATCCCGTGGAATCTTAACAACGGACAACTGCATTACTAGACCCTCCTTCGTCAGAAATAACAGACTAACAGAGGCATCCTTTTTGAAAATCGTTACAGGTTAAGTGCTGATGATAAGGAGGAGCCTCGTCCTCTGTTTGTTCACGCAGAAGAAAGTCCGACAGAAATGAGAAAATGTGCTTAGGACTGGGTTCCTATCCTATCCAAGTTAAACTGAATTCCAATTCTGTCCATATTTAGAATCGGGAGATTGGGATTGTGGGAATTGAAGTACTGTATAAAGTGTAACTTTTCCAAATTCCTTTCAACGTCCAGGTAATCACCTACACAGTGGAGACCTGGACTAGATTTAGTGACTGCGGATGATTTTTAAAAAACTGTACAGCTTTTTATTTATATAACAAACTCAGAATGGCCAGGATAGGGATATAGTTCAAGCATAAACGCAGGGAGATACAGTTTTACTTCAGGGAAGAAGCATTTTGACATGACAAGATCGTGGTGAATGTCTTGAAACTTAAAAACAAACAAGCAACAAAACCCAGTGTGCCAACTCTCACAATTCAGGTTCTTCAATAAAAAGAAACGGAGAAAAGGAAAAGCCAACGACTAAGGTGCGGATAATGGCAACACCACATGGGAGATGGTTGATTTTTTAAAAAAAAGAAATGTGATGAGGGCGGTTGGGAGTGGCTTCCCTTTGCAGCTCTGGGTCTAATCAATAATTCCTTAATACAGTGGCTCCCAAATTAGGGGTCCCATATGTTCTTTGACTACAACCCTCTAAAAATTATGCTACAACTCTTCCTAAGCTGGTGTGAGAATGATCAATGCAAGAATGCACAGTACTGTTCCCATATGCAGTGGACCCTTGACTTATGAAGGTCCCTACTTACGGAAATTTTGAGGTATGAAAAGCTCCGGCTGCAAAATTTTAGTTCGACTTGCGGCCGGAGCTTCGACCTGGGAAAGGGCAGGAAATTCAAAGCTGCCCCTGCTGCCCTCTTGTAGGTCCCCGGTGCCCTCTGCCTCCTGTGGACAGCAGGCAGAGGGCACCGGGGACAGGAGACAAGAGGGCAGCAGAGGCTGCTTTGAATTTCCAACCCTTTCCCCCTTTCTGTGCCCGCTGCCAGCTTTGCAAGCCAAAAGCCGCTCTGCGCCCGCTTTCAGGGCTTAGAAAGCTGCACCCACTTCCCTCTTGTTTCCTGTCCCTTGTGCCTTCTGCCTGAGGCACAGGGCACCTGGGACAGGAGACAGAAGACAAGAGGGCAGCGGCTGCAGCTTTCTACGCCCCGAAAGCGGGCGCGGAGTGGCTACCAGGTAGAGCAGCTTTCAGGGCTTAGAAAGCTGCACCTGCTGCCCTCTTCTCTCCTCTCCCCGGTGCCCTCTGCCTCAGGCAGAGGGCACAGGGGACAGGAGATAAGAGGACAGTGGGCGCAGCTTTCTGAGCCCCGAAAGCTGGCAGTGGGTGCAGAGCGGCTTTCGGCTTCCTGGGCTTCCAAAGCTGCACCTGCTGCCCTCTGCCTCCTGTCCCCACAGGGCACCGGGTGCAGCTTTGGAAGCCCAAGATTTTTTTTCCTTTGACTCAAATGGATTAAATGGTTTTCAATGCATTCCTATGGGAAATGGACCCTCGACTTACGGAATTTTCGACCTGCGGCCACCGCTCCGATACGGATTAATTCCGTAAGTCGAGGGTCCACTGTACATAGTAACATCAGATGTGGCAAGAATACTGATAAAAAATATCCTTCAAGCTCCCTCTTCTATGACTGCAGACAATAATGTTACTCCTGTATCCCTCAGTGTCCCTGTTCTTCCACAGTAAGCAATGTTAGAATAGAAAACTCAGTGCATTTGGCAAATTCCACACATCTTACCTGGCAGTAGATGTCATTAATACGGCTTTGGGATACATCTTTCCTGATGTGTATCTAACAATATGCAAAAGTGTATGAAAAATTAATGTCAGGTATGCCCTATTATCCCATTTATATATGGAAATGCAAGCGTTGAAAAAGAGTTTCCACATTTTATTCATGAGATGGAATAATAAGTGAATTCAATACTGTAGTTTTCAAATACTACCTGAAAGGTCTTAAAGGAATGTTTTTTTAAGTGTAAAACACACCTTCCTTACTGACTTTAGAACTTTGAAATGTTTTTTTCCAAATTGAAGCATTGAGTGGATAATTCATGAAATATTTTCACATTAAATTTTATTAGAATGTTTTTATTAGTTATTTTCATAAAGATAGAAAGTTAGGTTACTTACCTGTAACTTTGGTTCTTCTAGTGGTACTCTGTGAATTCACACAAATGGGTTATCCTGCGCCTGCGCAGGAATGTCCGGAAGATTCTAGAGCTAAGAAAAAAGAGTCAATTAGCTCTCCCCCCCGCGGGGTATATAAGCCCCGCCTCCTCCATCTTCCTTTCAGTTCCCTAATCCGCCGTTACCGTAAGTTAGATAAGCATGGTATCATAGAATGGTACCGTGACGGATAGAGGGGAGGAAGGGAGGGATGTGTGAATTCACAGAGTACCCCTAGAACAGTGGTGTCAAACTGTGGCCCTCCAGATGTTCTTAGCCTACAGCTCCCAGAAGCCTTCAGCACCACCTCTGCTGGCCAGGATTTCTGGGAGTTGAAGTCCAAGAACATCTGGAGGGCCACAGTTAGACACCACTGCCCTAGAAGAACCAAAGTTACAGGTAAGTAACCTAACTTTCTTCGTAGTGGTCTCTGTGAATGCACACAAATGGGTGAATAGCAAGCTTTACTCACTGGCAGGAGGGCCGTCATGGTATCATAGATGACAGTATCGCCCGTCCAAACGCCGCATCATTTTTGGCTCTGACATCCAGTCAGTAATGTCTGGCAAACGTCAGAGGGGTAGCCCAGGTGGCTGCTTTGCAAATGTTCTGCACTTGGACACCTTTGAGTAGGGCTGTCGAGGTGGAAACTGCTCTGGTGGAATGTGCCTTTAAGCCCTCTGGAAGAGGTTTCTTGGCTAGCTGGTAAGCAAGGTGAATAAGCTGAACAATCCACCGTGATACTGATTGAGAAGAAGCAGGAGCACCTTTGCGTGGTCCATGGTAACATAAAAAGAGACGGGGAGAGCGTCGGATGGACTTGGTGCGGTGTAGGTAGAAGGCAAGGGCTCTTCTAACATCGAGAGAATGAAGTTTGCGCTCCAGCAGTGTGGTTGGAGATGGGAAAAAGGTTGGAAACACAATGGGCTGAATGATATGGAATTCTGACACCACTTTTGGGAGGAAGGAAATGTCCATGTATAAGGTAACTTTACCTGGGTGCATTTGTAGGTATGGAGGGTCCAACCTTAGGGCAGCAATCTCGCTTGCTCATCTGGCTGAAGTAATGGCTGCTAACAATGCTGTCTTCAAGGAGAGAAGTTTTTCAGAGCACGTAGCCATT